GTTCAAGTCCTGGCTACTCCACTTCCAATTCAGGTCTCTGCTATGTCCTGGGAGAGCAGTAGAAGATGGACCAAGTCCTTAGGCACCTGTACCCTCACTGGAGACCCGGAAGAAGCTCCTGGCTCCTGGCTTCAGATTGGCTCAGCTCTGGCTGTTGCGGCCATCTGAGGAGTGAACCAGCAGATAGAAGACCTCGCTCTCTCTCTGCCTCTGCCTCTCTATAACTCTGCCTGCCAAATAAACAAATCTAAAATATATAAATAAACAAAAGATAAAAGCCCAGACAGAATACGACGAGAAGAAAATCGAGAGCCCAGACAGCGAGCCGAGCAAGGAGACTGCTGCGAGGGGCGCCAAGGCCGAGCGGGAGCCGGTCTCCACTACAGCAACATTCCGCTTGCTGCGTGTTGCTGGGAGCCGTGGGTTGGAGAAGCGGACATTACTCTAGGAGGAAAGGCCGACCTTCAGGATCACGGGTCCTCAAGCAGAAGACAGGGTCCACGCTGCAAGTAGCGGCCACGTGGCGAGGCCGAGAGCCTTGTTTTCCTGTAGCCAAAGAAGGGCAGAGCCATTGTCCCGGCAGGTGAGGGGTGGGTGTCTGCTGAGTGGTCAGGGGCTACCACTGCACCTGTTCTTCTCAATGCTGTCTCACCGGGGGAAGGAACACTGGTTCACACCCCAAATATCCACAACAGCCAGGGCTGGACCGGGCTGAAACTGGGAGCCTGGAACGCCCTCTGGGTCTCCCAAGCACTCGCGCCATCTTCTTCTGCCTTCCCAGGCACATTAGCGGGAGCTGGATTGGAAGCAGAGCAACCCGGTGCTCCAGTATGGGATGCCGGCATGACAAGCAGCAGTCTAGCCCAGTGAGCCACAACACTGGCCCCCAACCAATGCTTAATACACAACATGTGGTAATGATGCTGAGGGAATCCTAAGTAATCAAAGGAAAAGAGTGCTCTTAAAAATTCTTAACAGGGCCAGCGCCGCGGCTCACTAGGCTAATTCTCCACCTAGCAGCGCCGGCACACCGGGTTCTAGTCCCGGTCGGGGCGCTGGATTCTGTCCCGGTTGCCCCCCTTCCAGGCCAGCTCTCTGCTGTGGCCAGGGAGTGCAGTGGAGGATGGCCCGAGCAAGTGCTTGGGCCCCTGCACACCCATGGGAGACCAGGATAAGTTAATGGCTCATGGCTACCCCTTTATATTATATCCGAATCTCCAGAAATGAACCGCAACTTCTACAATCAACTTATCTGCGGCAATGGAGCTAAAATCAATAGCCGGAGCAAGGACAGTCTCCTCCCAGTTGAAGGGGAGAACACAGAATCTCCACATGCAGAAATATAAAACAAGACCTATGCCTTATACCTTACACAAATGTACACTGAAAATGGATCAAAGACCTAATTCTATGACATGAAAACCTCAAATTTTTAGAGAACATTGAGGAAACCCTGCAAGACTTTGATATAGGCTAAGACTTCTTTGGAAACTACCTCCAGAGGTACACGCAATCTAAGCCAAAATGGAACAAACAGGGATTACATTCAATTTGGATAAGCCTCTGCCCTGCAAAAGAAACTCTCTGCAAATTGAAAGGCGCAACTGACAAAATGGGGAGAAATTTATTTTGTAAACTATACAAGTGACAATGGGATTTAATAACCTGAAAATATAAAGAGCTCAAAAACTCCTGTAACAACATACAAACATTTGTTTAAGAAGTGGGCAAAGTCTTAAAC